TTTGTAATTATGTGTATGTATGTGTGTTATCTACATGAGTGCAAGTACCAGAAGAGGCCAAAGGCAATGGATCCCCAAGAGTTGGACTTACAGGTAGATGTGAGTGAACACGGCTTCTGGGAACTGAACTCAGTTCCTCTAGAAGAGCAGTAAGTCCTTTGGGGGGGGTCTTTTTGCCCAACTGGCCTTGAATGCAGAGCTCCGCCTGCCTCTGCCTCCTGAGTGCTGGGATTAAAGGTGTGTGCCACCACGCCTGGCCTCTCCAGTCCTCCTTAAAGCTTGTATTTTCATTATAACCATATGCATGTACATCATTTTGTAAAATATATTTTGGGGGACTGGAGAAATAACTCAATGATTAAAAATAAGTAGCTGTTCTTGTGGGGGGGGCAGGGGGCACCCAGTTTCAATTCCCAGCACCCACATGGTGGCTCACAACCATCTGTAACTCCAGTTCCAGGGGATCTGAGCCCCCTCTTCTGACTTACCAAGGCTCCTGCATGCACATGGTGCATAGACACATACATATATGTATGCATAAATTGAATTTTAAAAAGTTTTCTTTATAGGTGACAAAGGTTGAAAGCTTATCTAATCTTTACAACTGACCTAAATCAAGAAGCTTTCTAAACTGTACTGAATGGCATATGTCTGTAATCAGACCTCAGAGTAGTCCAGTCTGGAATACAAAGTTAGTTTTGAGCTGGCCTGGACTATGAGACAAAGCCTTTTAAAAATAATTAAAACAAATAAGGTCGGGCATGGTGGCATATGCCTTTAATCCCAGCACTTGGGAGGCAAAGGCAGGGGATCTCTGTGAGTTCGAGGCCTACAACAGCAGGTTTCAGGCCAGACAGAGTCTGTCTCAAAATACAAAACATGAACAAAAACATGCCTCCTCCATTACAGGACAAGGAAAGGGGGTGCCTCCAGAAGTTCCCCCAGTTCCAGCTGAGAACTTAAAATGAAAAAGCAAAGAACGCTCTGTTCTCAGCCTGTGCAGCCTATCTTCAGCCCCCCATCACACTGAGGCTCTGTCCCCTACCCTCCCGCCGCCCCCCGGGTCACACTGAGATTCTGTCCCTACCGCACAGAAGTGGCTGCGTCCCAGGGAGATCACTGGGGTTCAACAATAGGTAATTGTACAATGCTTGGCTGTGGCCCCGCGTCGTCCCATTATCAGATAGCAGCAGGGACAGAGGGTTCCAGACCCAGCCTAGGCATCGCATTGCGCACAGCTGCGGGGCGGGAGGAACCCGAGCCTGGGGACACCCAGGGCACGCTGTGACTGTGACCAGGGGAAGACGGCGCTCCAGAACAGAGTACGAAGCAGAAGGGGGCCTTTTGGGCTGGGCATATTTACAGGAGAAACACAAATTTGGGGATTAGGGGGTTGGGGAGGGACCTGACCAACGGCTTTCAATTTCAGACACCTGAGGAGCAGGGTTCCCAGGTGTGGACGCTCAGTCTGCGTCTCTTTTAACAGACTTGGTCCGCCGGCCGAACGTCCATTCCTTCCCACTCCCACGCGAGACCATGCACGCATGTGCCCGCGCTGCCCGGACCGCAGCAATCGCCGTTCCACATCCCAGTTCCTGCCAGCCCCGGAGGCCCAGCTCCAGGCTGCAGGTGCGCGGCGCCCAGTGCACACCCGGGATGCACGCGCGAGCAATCAAGCTCCGCCAACACCAGCTGGCATCGCTACGCCCGCCAAGCCCCCGCACCCGCCGACCTCAGCACCCCCCAAGCCCCCGGGACCCGCCGAGACCTCGCACCCCCTGAGCGCCCCGCAACCGCCCGCAGAGCGAACGAAGCCACCGCCCCGAGCGCGGAAGGCGCCTTACCGAGCGCGGCAGCTTAGCGGGCCCGGGCCCGAAGTTGACCACTTGCTTGCGGGGCTCCATGGCAAGGCAGCGCGGGCGGCGAGACTCCGAGGCGGAGAAGCAGCGAGACAGAGCCGCGGGAACTACCCGCGTCAGGGCCGAGGCAGCGCGAGTGGGGCGGGCTCAGCCCTCCGCGAACGGTGCCCCATTGGCCCGCAGCCGCAGACCCCGCACTGATTGGCTGTCACGAGGAACCTCGCATCCCCATTGGCCGCGCTCATGATCCGATTGTGGGAGTTTAGTGTTTCAACCCTCCTTTTCCGTCCTTGCAAGGAGCGCTGGAGATTGCGCCAGCCTGCGTGTGTGTGCGCGGCTGTTTGTGCAGCACCGGTGGCGGGAAGAATCCCGGCCACAACCCGCACCTCCGAGCCGCGTGGGCAGCCCAGGCCCCCCTCACCCCAGCCCTTTCTCAGCTGACTGCTAGGTGGAGGGCAAATCGCTCTGGGTCCCCCAGCCCCTGGGCTGGGCTCCGATGCGAGTGTTCCAGAGCCAGCCCCCATTAATTGAGCAGACTTTTCTAAGCACCCTCACAGACACTTCAGTGCTACAGAGGCAGGACACCCAAAGATGGACTTGCGGGGTGAAGAAATGCTGGGTGGGTGAAACTGGGAGCTTCGTTCCGGGATACAGGCTTGTCACCACAGCACTGGGGAGGCTGAGGCAGGAGGATGGCTAGTTCAAGGCAGGACAGTTACACGGCGAAACTCTGACTCAAAAATAACATTAAAGGGGCTGGAGAGAAAACTTAACGGTTAACCGCTAAGAGCTTTGGTTGCTCTTGCAGATGACGCGGGTTCGATTCCCAACAACCACATGGCAGTTACCAACTGTCTATAACCACGGTTCCAGGGGATCCAACGCCCTCTTCTGTCCTCCGCTGTCATTGCACGACACGAGTGCACGTACATGCAAGCAATGCACTCCTACACATAAACAAAAAAAAAGAAGAAAAAACAAACATTTAAAAAAGTACTTCAATCTCGTACTTACTTGGGCCACAACTCACTGCAGAATGAAAAGACCAGGTGGCTCAGAATACTGAGAGTCAGCCTCTCCCCACCCCCATGAGGGCCCCTTAAAGTTGCTGACTCCCCATTTTCTCTTGCAAGCAGAGGAGGAGGAATCTGGCACTGGCTCTTGCACGAGCACTGACAAGCTGTGAGGAGATACTAACTGGAGCACAGTACCCAAGATGAAGGCAGTGCGCACCAGAGGAAGGTGGCCCTGAGCCAAGCCAGGCCCAGGGCCAAATCTGTTCAAACTTTTCTACACAAGCGCCCTTCTCAAAAGGGTGGAGGCTCACGTGGGATTCTGAAACGAGGCCTCTTTCATGCAAGAGGAGTTCCTTTGATGTTCAGAACACTTTAAAAAGTGGATTTTGTTTTCTACTTCACAATTTAACCAGATTCTTTACTATGAAAAAAAATTTTCCTAAGTGCTTGCACACAATGGATGCCAGGAATAGGCAGTACCTGTTGTGGAGCTTTAACACCAATCACAGCATCCAAGACCACATTGAAAGTCTTTCCATCAGCCTCTTGAGATTTGGGCTTTTGTTTGTTTTCTGTGGAGTGCGGGAGGGCGGGAAAGCCTTCTTCGAGTCTGGGTGTTGAAAAGCACAATTTCTAGGAAAAACTGAACTGAGCAAGGTCTCTGCCTTTCTCAGCACCTTAATTTAGGAATTGCAGCACTGAATGGGCAGTTTCAATCCCAGGCCTTGTGAAAGTTCCCAGGAAAAAAAAAAGCTTTGAAATGAGCCTTCTTTCTGCAAGGCTGATTAACTGATTAAAACTTAAGGAAATGTGGAGTTTGGAATTTTCCAAGTCCAGAGGTAAATATTTTGGGCCATCTTTAGCCCACTTAATAGCCATGTATTACCCTGCTCTGTACATGACCTAACATCCTTTGTGACCATTAGGGAAATCATTTAGAATGTTCCAACAGAGCCCTAGTTTTCCTTTGGAATGCTTTCATAACAAAACCCTGGTTTCCACCAACTAAAAGATAGCATCTGAGGCCTAGAACTTAGATTTTTTTTTTCCCACTTTGCAGTTAACTGATTTAATGTTTCTACCAATGAATTTGAAAAGTGCCTTAATTTATGACTTTCTTTGTTCTGTTACTGTAAAAATTTCATGAAACTTCTTCCACATTGGAGCAGTGAATTTGGGGTAACCTGAAATCTGTGTTCCTAGGCCATGGTCACTCATATTTGGCTCCAGAATAAAATAATCAGCTACCACCTTTGAGGTGAGAGTTGTGGTTTTTTCGCCAACACCCTTGAACTCAGATATGTAAGATTTGTCACATGCCCATATTTTAGGTAATAAGGTACAGTTATACACACACACCACCACCACCACCCACCCACCCACGCACCCTTGTAGTTCATCTTCTGGATTAGTAAGATTAGCCTTCAGTTTTGGAGTTCTAAACCTGTCTCAGAGCGTGAATAAGGATGAGGCGGCATAGAAAGACAGGAAAAACCAAGAGCACTTGGGAAGGAAAAGAAGCCCCTCACGCGCACACTCGCAGGCCTACTTTGCCTTTCCTATTAAGAATCAAGAAACAACACAGCTTCTTCTTCCAGGAAACACGAAATGGCAGATGATGCTGGTGCAGCGGGAGGGGCCTAGAGGACCCGGGGACCCAGGCTTGAGGTGCTGAGGCGTCCGTGGAGGATTTGGTAGTGGTCTCGGGGCCACAGGCTGTGGGGCTCGTGGAGGCAAAGCTGAAGACAAGGAGTGGATTCCACTCACCAAGCTGGGCCGCCTGGTCAAGGACATGAAGATCAAGTCCCTGGAGGAGATCTACCTCGTCTCCCTGCCCACTAAGGAATCCCAGATGATTGACTTTTTCCTGGGAGCATCTCTTAAGGATGAAATTTTAAAGATCATGCCAGGGCAGAAGCAGATCCAGACTGGCCAGCGGACCAGGTTCAAGGCTTTTGCCGCCATTGGGGACTACAACGGTCATGTTGGTCTGAATGTTAAGTGGTCCAGTGATGTAGCCACTGCAATTCGAGGGCCCATCATCATGGCTAAGCTTTCCATTGTCCCTGTTCAGAAAGGCTACTGGAGACAAGATTGGCAAGGCCCATACAGCCCATGCAAGGTGACAGGCCATAGTGGCTCTGTGCTGGTGTGTCTCATCCCTGCCTCCAGAGGCACTGGCATAGTCTCTGCTCCTGTGCCCAAGAAACTGCTGATGATGGCTGGTATTGATGACTGCTACACATCAGCCCGGGCTGCACTGCCACCCTGCGCAACTTTGCCAAGGCCACCTTTGATGCCATCTCTAAGCTATCTGACCCCTGACCTCTGGAAAGAGATGGTCTTCACCAAGTCTCCCTATTAGGAATTCACTGATCATCTTGTGAAAACCCACAACTATGGTGCGCGCGCGCTGGGCGCCCTGGCGTGGTGTGCGCGGGCACACCTGGAGAGTTGCGGGGCGGGGATCGGTCCCCTGGTCTCAGCCGCGCCTGGAAGAAGGTGGGTCTGGCCCCGCGGGCTTCTCCGTGTCTCTGTGGGTCTCTGCTGCTGGAGCTGTCCAGCCGTGTACCGCCTTAATTTTCCCCCATGCGCTTTCCTCTTGATGCGAGATCCACTGGCCACTGGATCACGCGGGAAAGTATGGAAAGTACGAGGCGGCTGAAGCTGGGATCCGTGAGCCGGTGACGGAGGAATGCTGCCCCCCCCCCAGCCTAGATTGCAGACAGGA